GCGGCTTCACGTTCACACCCGCCTCCTGCAGAAGTTGCTGTTCCCTCAGGTTTAGGGTTTAGGGTTTATGGTTTAGGGTTTAGGTTTAGGGTTTAGGTTTGAGGGTTTAGGATTTAGGTGTAGGGCTTTGGGTTAAGGGGTCTGGGATTGAGGGCTTAAGTGGGCACTTTGGGGTTTATAGACTGTGAACTCTGAACCGCGAAATCCTAAACCATGCTAAGCTCAAACCATTGCCGAAAAGCCTCTGAAGGTCTAGATCAACAGACCTACACACCAAGCCTAAAGCCTCTGAAGCTAACCCTGAACCCTAGCCTAATCCCCGGATCCTAACCCGGTCCTTTAGGTGTTACCCAAACCTGAAACACTCGGCTTGGTACTCCCAAGGGCCGACGTACTCCCAACATAGAACATGTAGAGACACCATTGTAGGGGTGCTTGCACCCTCAGGGCACTCGTATGTGACCGGCGGTCGTCTTCGTAAACAGCCAGCAGGCATTCCCTGTTTAAGAAAGCCCTAACAAGACTTTGAACCGATAGCGGTAGATAATTAGATAGATAGATCCGTCGACAGCTAGAAGCAGATAGATAGATACATAGGTAATTAGATAGATAGACAGACATACACATAGACAGAGAGAGAGAGAGAGTGAGAAAGAGAGAGATACATATAATAATAATTATTATTCGTATTACTACTTATTATTATTATTGCTATTATTATTATATACACACACACATCTCTGTATATACATATGTATGTATGTATGTATGTATGTATGTATGTATGTATGTATGTGTGTCTATATCTATATACATATATATATATAGATGTATACATGTACGTTTGTATGTGCATATGTATGAACTATGTTTGTTTATGTACATATCTATAGATAGATAGATAGATAGATAGATAGATAGATAGATAGATATTTATATTTATTTATTTATATGTACATATGTATATGTATGTGTATATATATATATATTGATTTAAAAAAAATCCTACATACTCTGGCATGCAGGGACTCGCTTCTCGCTTCGGTGCTCCTCTGGCCGGTAGCCCGGGACCAAGCCGAGGACTTTAGCGCCGTAGGAGGTGTGAAACCTCTGCAGTTCGCTTTTGTTGACGTGCATTGGTCCTTTCAGGTGAACAAGCCGATTGTGAAAGCGCTACACTGACGAGCGCTTCCCACGCATTACGACATGAGTCCGCTGCCCTCAAACAGGAGTTTGGGGCTCAGGGGCTTTGGTTGGGTGTGATCTCGTGCAAGTTGCAGCTGAAGGGTTGTATCACGCTAAAGGAACTGATCTTCAGGATCCTCGAACAGCTCATGGCTGAGGGATGCTCCAGTTCTGAACTTTCCGTTTCCGGATCAACGACCCTCAAACAGCCATGCCGACCATGCAGCGTAAGAATTCGGTCGTTCACCTTGCCGTTGACGTGCATGTCCTGCTGAACACGGGTGCCCAGGCGTGCCCAGCCAGGTTTAAGAAGACGCCATGTCCGAAAGCACAAGATGCCATGTCCGAAAGCTTGCACTGAAGAACGGCCCTATCCTTTCGGGAACGTTGAAGGCCTGACATATAACAGGCCTTGTAAGCGGCTCTCATGAACAGAACTACATCTAACATGAACTGACCAGGGTCCACGTACTGCTGCATATTCTTCACGCCGCTGCTGGCGTAGTCGTGACACCTGAGCACAGGCCGCGAGTTTAAGGTCTTGGCCGCCTCGGGCAACCCAGTGCAGAAACCCAGCCCTGTCGAACAGGTTTCTGTGAAGAAATTTAGCGCAAAGCTCATGGGAACGCCGAGCTCAACTCGAAAGGCCCCTTTCTTCCCAAATGCTTGCCGGGCCGCAAAGTCACGGCGCACACGGACTCGATGGTTGGGTCGAGGCGGGCCTGGGAAAGGACCCCATGCAACCACATTTGCTCCAGACCGCCCCGAAGCACCAGTGATGATGAGAAATGAGTCTCAACCTCACCAGCCATTCCACAATGAAGACAACGGTATCGGGAATAGCAGCATGTCGCAGGATTTAGATTCGCCCCCTCACCAGCCCCACACCACAGGACCTGGGACCCAAGGACAGAAGGACCTTGGAGAGGAAACAGAACAGCACAAGACGTAACGTTTGGTGCATTTGTAAGCTTAACATTAGAACCATTACCGGCTAGATCGAACAGTCAAACAAAATTAGATAAACTTGCAAACATTACAAAAGGCAATGCATCATCAACTCCAAATGTAATAGCAATCGATCACAAAAGATAAATCTCTTGCGTTGTAAATAGTAGCACTGATACTATGGTTTCGGAAAGCCCCATGGTTCACTGTTGGCCCTGGACTCGGCAATCGATTCTCCGCCTGAGCATCCGGACTTCGGTCCTCAACAGCACAGAAGAAACAAAGAGCCCGAGGCAAGCGAGACCCCGCTTCACAACCTTCCGGAACCGAGACGTGGACATGCTGACGAGCAAAACAGCCTAAACGCTCGAAACCTCGGACCCAGAAGCTGACCACAAGCCCCGAATCAAAAACAAAACGCCCCAAAAAGAGCCCTAAACCCTAAACCACCCTACAGAGAGGGAACCCATCCCAAGAAGAGAAGGTGGCGGAGAGGAGAGGCCCGGGCCAGGTGCAGGGCGAAGCTGCGCAGCTCCGTGCCGAGCCCCCTGCGGCCGGGCCGCGCCGCAAGCCGCAAGCGCTTCAAAGCGGCAAAGCGGTGGGGGCTCTCCAGAGGTTCAGGGGGTTTAGGGGTTTTAGGCGGCCAAGGGCCATGTTTGTCAGCTTTGAACATCCTGCAAGACCCTGTGCTCCGCCTGTGCTCCGTGTGGGCGTGGATGGCGATGAGCTGAAGCACCGGACCCCCCTCCACGTGGCCTTCGAAGACCTGCCACGTTCCGCATATCCGGGAGGGCCACATCGTCAGGGATGACTCCCTCCTCCCTAAACCCAGCCTGCTGGAGCTTCTGCCGGTAGACCTGACTTCAAGATACGGTTTAAACAGGCTTAGCTTGAAACGGCCGACTCTTCGGATGCCAGTGGGTACACAGGGCACCTGACGCCTTCAGCAATTCTCATGCCGAAAGGACGCTGGAAAAGGAGCTCTTGCTGTCTGGAAGTTGAGCTGACCGATGATGGCAGTCGAAAAATTCGGGGGGTTCAACTCAATCTCTCACCCGCGCGCTGCGGAGGGAATAGGCAGTTGATTGTTATCAGCATCTTCTCCGAGCAGCATCCTCCGGCTTGCGGATCCGCTGCGTGTACAGCACAGCCCGCACCTGCCCAGACTGGCGCTGAGGCACTGCAGTCTACGAGAGGGCTTGGCGAAAGCCTCTTTGCGGCGTCTCTGCGGTGCAGGAAGCTTCTGCTGTCGCTCTCCAGTGGCTTTTCGTGAAGCTAGAATGCTAGAACCTCCTCGGTGCTGGAATCCTCTGGCATCCTGAAACTTAACGTTGACTGCAAAGCTCCGCACATCGGCTCCCTTCCGCCTGCCCGTCCACCTCCAAGGCGAAGTTCGTCGTCGGAGAGGCTTGGAGCCGCTTCAGCAGGCCTTGGTCGTCTAGCAAGCTTTTCTACGCCTTGCAGACGCTCTGAGTTGTGCACTGCAGCGCTGCAGGTGATCTGTGACACGACTACGAATCTCAGCGAAGCAGGATTTAGGACAGTAGCCTCAAGACCAAGCCAGGCACCTTCTCTGGGGGTGCGCATGTGCTTCTTCCATGCCATCTCCTGGCGACATTGCACTAACGGACAAGCGGCTTTCGATCTTCGAGCATTGAGCAGTGGCTTGAACGACCGCCACCACGCCCTGTGAGAAAAGAATTCAAGGGGCTGGACACCTTCCAAGATCTGGCCTTGGCTACTTCTGGCCTTGACTACTTAGACCGGGTCCACACCAAAGAAGTCACCAGTGCTGTCAGCGGTAAAGCGAGTTTGGGACCTTCACGGCGGGTCCTCTAACACTTCCAGCGCCGGCAGATCCTCGGGAACCACGAAGCGCACTCGGAAGCTTCGTCTGGAGAGCACCTCTCGGGCAGCTTCTGGTTTGCATGTCAGATTCGGGGCTCCGTTGCAATTCACAGATCTCGAGTGGTGCGGTACTTCCCTGGCTACAGGGCACAGCTCTGAGAGAACCGCATCCCCGCGCCTGACAGAAGACGTCGCAGTCCCCGGTCCTTAGCGACATGCACGTCCGTTTGAGGAAGGCTTGGAGACTTGAGCGGTCCAAGCTTCTCGTCCCGCATGGGATACGGCTGCGCCAGCTTCACATCCTGGCGCAGAACGGTGCAGAAGGGTCCGGTATCCCCAACTCCCCGCGGCCTGGCGATCCCAGGCTACACTTGAGGGTGGATACAACCCGAATCTTTTTGAGGCTTTGGGGTCTCGCTCACGGCTCCAGAATCCCTGGAACCTCCGCAGCCCACATGCCCCCAGCAAGACAAGTGGAAGTCCGAGAGAGCCTGAGTCCCGTTTCTTCATGCCTGCGGGAAGAGCCCCACCATCGCGGCAGCCATCGCTAGTGCTGCTGCAGGGGCCACCAAGACGTTGGGCCTCTTGGAAACGGAAGCTGTCTGTCATTTGGGGCATCTTGGAACTTCCTCGGGTTTCCTCTGCTCTGACAACAACACCCCACACCCCCTGAAAGCTCAACTGCACTAAACCCAAAACCTCTAGAGGCTGCACGGTACACATCGCACCACTCGTGCGACTCAGCTGCCCAGGCGAGTGGGACTGCACCTGGGAAGCTTCGGGCTTTGGTGTTCCGGAATCATCTCAGCCCCGAAAACGAAGCTCCAAACATCACAAGAGCCTTTAACCTCTTGACTCGAGCCCAGAAATTCCACACTGGAGGCATCGAGCTTGTGACAATGCCAACCCTCGACGATCCGAACGCACGGTGTTCATCTTGTGCGCTGCTGATCCACGAGATGCTTGCGGAGATAGTTGCGGTGGTTTGTTCTGTTTCCAGTCCTTAAGCCCTAAGGGCCCATGTACCCAAATGGTATATAGTTTGGCCTTAAAGTAGTCCCTATTTTGCTACTTTGGGGGCCAATGTATCTACTATTTCGGTGCATGGACCCTTAGGGTAAGTACTTCATAGTTGACTACTATGCTGTGACTACATAGTCCAACTACAGTCCGAACACGTCAGTCTTACGTCAAGTCTAAAAACAAATATGTTCTGATGCGTATCTTACATCGATAGTATGAGAACAAGGCAGGTACAAGGAGTCAGGCTGGCTTCGCACTCTGGGCACTATTGCATGATGCTTGCGAGAAATGTACTCACGCAGCGTTATCTGACAGTGTTGTGCTGCAGCAGCCCATTGCAGCGAAGTTGTCTGGCATCGGTGGTGTTACGACTTTACGAGAATGCAGCTTCGGCATATTAAATGGGTATAACAAAAATATTGCATTGCGGATAGATCCCCACCACCTCTGCACATCACTCCGATACTCCAGCTTGCCATGCTCATCTTACCAACAAGATGCGCATAAACAAAGACCCTGGCCTCTGCAAGGCAAAGCCCCATGCCGCCCTTGGCGAGCTCGGCGCAATCCTCGGCATCCTCATCGGCGCCAAGTCTTGAGACTTCTTCGTGCTGGAATTGTCCTAAATACCAAGCTTCGCAAAGCAAAAACAAAAAGCCGCGCTTGTCCTCGAGCAGAGCTGCAAAGAGCGCCTCAAAGCCAGAGAAAATCTCAGAGTGAGGCGTGCTCCACCACACAGAGCCCCGCTGAATCAGCTTGCGTACGCAACAAAGCCCGCGACATTTCCAAGGCCAGAAGGCTCCACCCATGCATTGAAGCTACTGTAAGGTGCATTGGAAGTCCGTAGACCCGAGAGGTTGGCACTCTGGTTAGCAAGACCCCCGAAGTGCGGCGGACTCGCCTCACTGCCTGCTGCGTTTCCCATCGCCTGTGGCAGCTGGGTCTGGTCGAGACTAACACTGACGATGCTACGACAACTAAAGCACACCCCCAGCGGCAACGGCACGGACAACGACAACTGAAACAAAGACAAGGAGGACGCCCTCCTCACATCATCGCCCTCTCCTGTCTTCCTCACTCTCCTCTCCCCGCCCCAGGCGTGCTCTTTAGTCTCATCCGCACCTGGTAAACATCACTATCACGTTGTCATCAGCACATCATCCACATCCAATCACCGGATTTTGTCAGTATGGGATCACAAAACCAGGGATCGTAGGTCCCGGCTGAGAGGCTCTGAACGGCCTTACCGTGAAGGTCCAGCCCGAGCCTGCCGGGAGAAGGCGGCGACGGGGCCCGACACCGCCGAAGCCGGGACCCGGCGCGGGCGGTCCTGGCAAACCTGCACAAAACAGATCACGAGTCTTTTTTAGGGCTTTCCTGTGCCGGTGAAACGGTGCGGCTTCGAATTGCATCGACTGGGAATGCTTGTGTTGCAGTTGCTCCCAGTGCCTGCAAGAAGAGAGTCCGATGAGCATCGATCTTCTTCTGCTTCCTTGGGCATTCTGAGGTTTGCAAGGCGGGAATTCCCAAGCCCCAAAGCCAAAAGCTTTCCGAAGCCCCGGGTCCGTGGAAGATGGCGATGGCATCCACACCCTTCCAGCCTTGAGCCTAGCTGCAGGGCAGCCACAATGGCACCGGGGCTTCGCACGTCGCCCGTCAACACCTCCGGAGTGGTGGACGGCTCTGGCACAGTGAACTGCAAGTCTTGGACTTCCAATCGGCTTAGCCCTGCTGTCGCCCCATCACTAGAGTCACTAGAACCGGTAGATCATAGACCCGAAGTCTTTATCACAGCCCTTAGTTTCCCTGAGCCCTCGCCGAGCCAGCATTCCACAAAGACGGGCCTTGTGCGGGATGCGCTTCGCGCACATTCCGATCTTAGGCGCCACCAGGCTCTCCTCCACTCGACCGATCACCGCAACCGGACAGGAAAACACTCGGGACTCCAAGCATGAAAGCTAAACGAGAAGCGTTGCAAGAGTCTTTCCAAGACGCCTTTGTGGCTCTCATCCCCCACGCACGAGACCGATCTGCCCACCTGGCCCCCAACAATCGAAAGCTTTGGGAGTTCACGGGCCTCGTCACCGCCGATGCCCACCATGGTCAAGGGAAAATCCTCTCAGGCTGAGGGTGCATTCGGCTCAGAGCCGCTACTGGACGGGGCAATGTCAGAGACTTCCAAGACATTTCAACCGTGGCAGCAGCAAGGCAACGAAGAAGCGGATCCAAGACAAAGTGGCTTGTGAAGCACTGCAAGTCCCGACCCCAACCGAGCAGGCCCGCCTTCATGACCTTGCCCCGCGGAGTCTCCTTCCAGTGACCGTTGAATGGGCCCGCTTCGGGCGCTTGCACCAATCCAAAAGGGAACTCGTCCGCTCTCGAGGGTGGCAAGTGAAGCAAACAACCGATGTGACTGGAGCCCACACAACTTGGAGTCACTAGGAGCTCATACCTCTCTGAAGCTTTCGAAGAGCATTTAATGGAGTCGTCTCATTCCAGAACTGAAGCCTTCATCCACAGCTCGCAAAACGTGAATCTGCGACACACGAGGCCTCATGTATCAACAAAGCCAAACCTGCAGCGATCGTGTGATTTGCGGCTTGTCGTTGTCGGTGTCGAGGCTTCGGCTCTGCGGGAGATGGAGTGCCACCCCGAATTGCGGAATCTGTTCTCGTCCGATGCCCAGCCCACCCTTGCCATCCTTGCCAGGCTCATATTTGGCTGGCTAGCTAACCCGACCAGGTGATCTGGCCTTGACGAGCTCGAAGAGCTCGACGAGGAGCCGACCATCGCCGCAATCTGCCTGGATAGCAGCGCACAGTCAATCGTTACTGCTGCCACTGCTCTATCCTGAAGCCTACCTGCAACAGTGTTGAATCCTTAATCCCTTGGCAACCCAAGCCGCCCCTCCGATCGGTCCGCTTCGCCTGCACCACGAACCGCGGCTGCGAGCCGAAGTCGTCCCCCGCAAAGAAGGCGGAAACAAGGGACAGGAGGTCCTACGGAGCAGCCGCTTGGGCTTGAAGACTCGCACCAACGTGCGTCCAGACATCACAGCTACGACAACCGCAGCTTGACTCTTGCTCCACTCAGCACCGAGTGAAAAGACAACCAACACCGGACTCAGTCCCAGAACCTGCACGCAAGTAGAAGACAGCCCGCGGAAAGCGGTAAGCAGGCTCATGACCACTGCCAGCACACACCACGTGCACCACCGACTCGCCAATCGACCCGTCTGAGATCGTCAGAGTAGAGTACAACCCCCAGGCATTAAGGCAAGCAAGGACCCTGGGGCCCTGGTATTCCGGGTTAAGGGTTTGGGGCCGGCCAAAGCACTCACGCTTGACACAGCTTCGGCACAAACCCGTTTACAGCCCTGGTAGGATTAGCTGACCGCCTGCATCGCGGGAGGTCCTGCACCACAGGCTTTTGTGCTGCGGGGGACAGGGTGTGATTGGTCGGATTGCAGAAGACGTCGACGTTCACCCGTACCACCCAAACTAATACCCTTCAGGGCTTAGACCTAAACATATGCTACGAGGCCAGCTATTCCACCACAGCGCCACAACTGCAAAGGCTTTGGCGGGGTTTTGGTTGCCGACTTCTGGGGTGCTTGAGGCTCTTTCGGGGCACTTGGAACTTGCGATGCTGATAAAACTGCAGCCCTATGCGCACGCAGTCCGTTTGCAGGCGCCATCTTCGGCGAAGGGCCCGAGAAGGGTGGGGGGGTGGGCCAAAGGAGGGTTTAGGGCTTGAAGCTTTCAGGGCTCAGGGTCTTCAAAAGCTTGAAGCTCCTCTCAAGGCTTCTTTGTCAAGCTATTCTGGAGTGCGGAGCAAGACGCTCAGCTTGAGGGGAGCCCCAGCAATGCGTTGCATGTTGTGAGGCTCGACATGAAACAGACGGCAGGCAAAGGACAGCATCGAAGAGCTATGTAGACCTGATTGGCTGTAGGGTGCGGGGACTCACAAGTAAAAGCCTTCAGCCCTCCACCGCCAAAGCCTGATGTCTGACCCTCAATCTGCAGACCGCTTCGAATTAGAGTCACCTCCTCACCGGTTCCCCACTGAGCTTCCAGCTTCCATCTGCTCCTTCAGCACTCTCAGACTGAAAACAAAAGGATCCGGATAGTTGGATGTGCCATGCACCACGCTCTGCAAACGCCGGCTTCCGAACAAAACTTGCGAAACTCCGACAAATCCCGAAACTGGTGCCACGAAAAAGGCTCCTCGGCGATCTGTGGCTTCTTGTAACCCCTGAGAAGCACCTCTGGCCCATGGACACCTGAGCTGTGCGAACACAAAGTATACTGTAGGGATGCTGAAAGATTAACGACCAAGGCAATTCTGCGGATGATAACGATGACGATGATGCTCATGAAACAAAAAGTAAGACGATAGGCATACTAGTGACTGTGAGAATGATGATGGTCGTGGCTGTACTGTTGTCATGGTCGCTAACGGACATGGAGATGCCGTGGCTTGCGGTCGCGAATGCTTGTAAACGTCGTGAATGCGAAAAACCCCAGGCCGAGTCCTTCTGAGGCCCAAGCACACAGGACACACCCAGCGGTCCTGGATCCCCAGTGTTTGGAGATCCACGAACCTGCCGCGAAGATTGGGATTGACACTCCTTTGCATGAAAGTCTTGGGCGAGCTGTGGGCTTCGGATACCGGGGGAGACGTCTACCAGGACCTCAAGGTGGGCCTCTCCGTTCAAGGCGGGCGTTCATGCTTGATCGCTGCTCGGGTTGGAAGGCTTCAGCCCGGGTTGTTTGTTGCTGAGTGAATCTGACGGGCTGGCAGTGACCTGCAAGCCTGAGCAAGCCGCGATTGGATTGCTTGACCACATTGCAAGCTGCGAAGACAAGTATCTCCACAACACTCATCCCCTCAACCCCTACGACAAAGCAATGAGAATGCCGGGGGCCTTTCGATGCATGCCACGTGGAAAGCCCTGGTGCAGTTCTCGCAGAACAACACACGGCCATCCTTTTGGCAGACCTCCAGCACATGAGGCACCAGAGTGGCAAAGCTGAGCTAAAGTAGTAACAGCTGGATGGCTGATGGTGGCCCACAATAGCCGAAGTCAAAGGATTAAAGCCTGTCAGAGGGGGAGCCCTCCGAACCGCCTCGCAGAAGCCGTTGTGGAACTCTTTGGACTCGCTGGCTTCGACGAGTTCCCCCTCCATGGCCATGACCGCTCCGCGGAAGGAAGTCTCGGATCACGGATCACGCTCTTTGGCATTGACTTAAACCCCATATATCATATAGATGTGTCTTGCAAGTTGTTAAGACGGCCTCTTGAGCAGAAACTGGCGTACTTCTGAAGGCCGCCTCTCACTTGCGACAGCTGTGCAGCTATGCTATGCGTGTGGCACATCTGATACAAGAGGAACGGGACGCCCAAAAGACAGATAGACGGATTCGGACCACGGCGACAGCGAGATGCAAAGACAGAGAGACAACGACAGCCATAGACCCAGACTGACGGACAACAGTCAGGAATAGGCCGACTCAGAGTATAAGGCCGGTGATGGCTCTC